TTGGGTTCAAACGTATGACATTAGGATTAGAGGTAGAATGTGAAGATGATGACTTTATTTTCTTTTCTTTTTTAAATAAAAAAAATTGTTTCAGAGACTAGATCTGCTCGAGGGGATGAATTGATTTATCAAAGCAATACAACATCTCAAGGGAAAGATTAGAAAAAGATTAAAAGTTGAGAACCCTTTTCATTTTTACCGAAATAAAAGCAGAAATAAGTGATCTATTTTAATAATTCATTGTTAGCTTACACATCATTTAGTCACGCCAACGCCACATAGGAGTAGTGTAAGAGTAGTTTAACTTTAGTTATCACTACTCATCACAAGGAGGCTGACGATTGTCATGTTCTCGACTATCAGAGACTAAGGAGGGAAAATACATATAATTTAAGCAACGCTTAAGAGGAAATAGTATGTCAGGTAATCCCTACAAGACAACCAAAGATGCAAGTACCAGACAGGAGAAATTAGTGCATTGTTTTCTCAATTTTCATGTCGCAGTTGGTGGTAGTTGCACTACTCCCTCTTTTCAACAACAGTAGTTAGTGTATGTTGCAAAAAGATACTTTCATGAACAATATGAAATCATATCTACTACATGTACATATACTTGGGTACAATTTTAATTGATGGTACTAGCTAGTGTATCAAAAAAAATTGTTATGTACTCCAAACATACAAAACTTGTATATGTTAGTTTCTTCAATCTCAAGAAGTTATTATATTAAACCAGATATGTATACGATGTATCCCAAAAAGCTGTTATATCTCATATATATCGATGGCGTACTAAAGGACAAATTCTCAAAATAGACCCATTTAGAAACTTATTTTCAAAAATTGACCCATTTTAAAAATAATTATCATTTTCGACCCAGTTTCAGCCAGGTCAAAAATTATGGGTTAAGACGTCATAAAACTGTGGGTTAAGGGGAGCTAAATCTTCACGGGATTTGAAATCTCGTGAAGCTTAAACTTCACGGGATTTCAAATCTCGTGACGGCGGCGACAGAATCGACGATGGACGGTGGACAATGCGGTGGTGGCAGTGACGGCAGTGGGGGGCGGCGGTATGTAGATCTAGGGTTTGGCGATTTGGCGATGAAGGAGCAAAGAGAGGGGGTCGGGAAAACACGATAACAGATGGCGTAGGCTTATATATAGGCTCTCCGCAACTCCACATGATTTGAAATCCCGTGAAGTTTAAGCTTCACGAGATTTCAAATCCTGTGAAGATTTGGCTCCCCTTAACCCACAGTTTAATGACGCCTTGAACTTCACATGATTTTAAATCCCGTGAAGTTTTTGAACTTTTTTTGCTATTTTCGATCCAGTTTTAGCCAAGTGGCTGAAACTGGGTTGAAAAAGGCAATTATTTTTAAAATGGGTCGATTTTTAAAAATAAGTTTCTAAATGGGTCTATTTTGAAAATTTGTCTCGTACTAAATATGCTCAAGGCTATAAAGTTAAAAATCTTATACATGTGCTTCAAACAGCTGTATATATATTTGCTTTTGAGATAAATTTCACTTGCAATCACAACTTTCGGGAATCTAATTAGTTCAAAATCCAATTCTTGATTACCCAAAATATATCAGGTAAAATGTTGCTATAGCTCTAGTTAGGACAATGCAGGGAAGATCAATATTTTACGGTTATTATAATATCACTACTCATATTAATCAAAGGTATATTTAAATCTAATAATTAGGAAAGTTGAAGGTGTATGTACTAAATCTGCTTAACTTACATCCACATACTAAGACCACAGTCTTTAGCGTCCTCTAGGGGTGAGCACGGTTCGGTTCGGGTCGGTTTTTACCAAAATTTGAATAACCGAACCGAACCACCTACAATTCAAAACCGAACCGAACCATTGCAAATCGGTTCGGTACGGTTCGGTTCGGTTTGTTCGGTTCTAACTTCATTAAGTATAACTTTACTTCAATTTATCTTTTATATATTCTTATTACCCTATGCTAGCATGTATTTATTTTTAACTTCACTTCAATTTATTATTCTTGCTCATGTATGATGTATGTATACTGTTTTTAAGTGAAGTAACTTGTCCTTTTGGATTAAATACCAGACTCTGACGTTGTAATTTTTTAGTAACGGACTTGCTTTGTCTTTGTGCAGCAAGCTTTGACTTTGGTCTTTGTGGAGACAAAAAAAGGAGCTGACTCATTAGAACATTGGTTATGTATGAATCAATTCCCTGCAACTGCTATTCATGGTGATCGAACACAGCAGTAAACCCACAAATCAAAGGCACAAATATATTCGGTTGGTTCGGGTCGGGTCGGTTTGAAAAATTGTCAACCCGACCCGAACCGCCTTACTCATAAAACCGCTTTTTTCGGGTCGGTTCGGGTCGGTTCGGTCGGTTTTTTCGGTTTGAACCGAACCGTGCTCACCCCTAGCGTCCTCACACTGTGTAATACTTCCTTTAAAGAAAGCATAATTTTAGCTTATTTAATAGTTTTATATACTTATGAAAGGGAAATGAAAGAGCTTGTAGTTAATTTGCTATGGCTTGATTCCCATTTCCACTATCATATTAGCAACACTGTGCACGTGTATAAAGTTTCTTATATAGTGATATTTAAGGAGAAACAGCAGAACATACTTATTTAACAACAATAACAAATAATGAGTGTATTTTTTTGATGTTGTAGAATTCCAGCAATTTTCTAAATTATAAGTGCAAAAACATGGAATTTTGTCATGGAAGTAATTGGCATGCTAGAGAAAACAAATATAGAAGTGGCTAAATATAATTTTTATTGCATTGTTCTTGAAATTTTTTTTCTTGTCGCCACTTGCTTACTAAGCCGTGACCCTTTCTTTAACAATTCTATGAAAAATGCTTTCCTCGATGGTCGAGAGAATAAGGAAAGTATATGGCAAATAGAATAAAAGTAAATGATGTATTTGTGCACACCATCTTTGTTAATGTTGGGCTATTTGAATTTGGATATTAAGCATGTAAAATATTTTCTTCTAGCTATGTTATATGAACAATTGAATGGATGTTGTTAAGTTTTTGGTGTTATGTTGCAATGTAATAGTTTTTGGCCTCTATTTTTGTTCACTAAAAAATATACAATTGATTGCTCTTTGATAGTTACTATGTAATCATCCTTAATATTATAATTAGACACATTCAGTTAGATCTTAGTCCATGAAGCCCAACCTCTTGTTATATTCTATACACAATAAATTTTGTTAATAGTTTTCTTGTTTATAATTGGGAGGTATATAAATTTATTCTCTAAACTAAGAAATAAGGTTGTAAAGTGAACAAATAACAAAAGACCAGAAATTATAATCCCGATTGTAGCCACCGAACATGAGATTAGTATTTTGGTCATCAAAGTCTCAAGGACTTTGAACATGTAAGCAAACATGGGACTAGGACTTCTAATCCTAGTCCCACCCAACTCTAGTCTCAACCTAAGTCTTAGTCCTTGTCCCATCGTGAACCAAACACTACCATACAGTAAAACTCTTGTAAACTTAAGTGGATAGAAGCTTATTGTCCACAAACCTTTTTATCTATTAGTTTTACTTTGAAATTTGTGCTAACATGTGATACAAATCAATGCACACATCTCAAAGGTACCCTTCATGTCTACCACGAATCTCAAAGTAAAATCAAAGACAAAAGGTTGATGGACAAGAGTTTCTATCCGCTCAAGTTTACTCTCGCTTTACTCTCTCTCTCTCTCTAAGTAAGTGTGTATATATATGAGAAAAATGTTTCTAAGGTTGCACCTTAGGTTCAGTCTAAGGAAGCGCCTCCAAAAACTACATTATACGCAATCAATTTACACGATCAACTCCATTCATTATGATCTAAATGTCTCAAAACATCTATAAAATAAAAATCATGACTTTTAACACATTTTTCATTGTTCCTTTAGTTGTACTGTCGTAAAACTGTTAATTTTACAATCATTTGATGCATGAGTAGCTACAATGCAACACGCCTAATTTTTTGTTTATGTACATTCCAAAATATAGACCGAAATGAATGGAGTGGATCACGAAAAATTTATTACGTATAATGTAGTTTTGGAGGCGCTCCCTTAGAGTGAATTTGAGGTGCCACCTTAGGAACACTTTACACATATATATCACACACACACATATATGGAATGATGGGTACAAGGTGGTGGCTTATTTTGCTAAATGAGTTACCAAGAGATAAGAGCGTTGAGGTCCACACCTTTTGATGTGATTAGCAAGGTGGGCCTCATCACATGGCTAGAATGATGGGTATGATGTCGCGGCTTATTTTGTTAAATGAGTTACCAAGAGATAAAGAGTTGTGAGGTCCACATCTTTTGATGTGATTAGCAAGATGACTATCATCACATGGCTATATATATATAAAAGGAAACTGGCTATGAGTTGACATGCTATTTTGCAAAATGGACTGCCAACCCACTACCATGTGAGCCCTACACTGATGTGACTAGCTAGTTATGTATGACATGCTAGCACAAATTTCAACGGAGGGTGGGAGGGAGAGAGTGGGCATAACTAGCTAGTTATGTCCCTGTCAAAGCACATGGCATGAGGGAGAGAGGAAGGGGTGTGGGAGAGGGGGATCTTAATACTCTGGTGGCATAACTATCTAATTATGCCCCTACCAAAGTACATGCCATGCTAGTTGATCTACATGTTAAAGTCCGATATACAAGAAATGATTTATTTTATATCCTTTTATACATATCCATGCATCAGATGATCATAACACACATGGTTTCCTAACAGCAGACCTACAAGGATCACAATATCCATGAACTAGAAGCACACAATGGATCGTCCACTATGATAAATAACTCATAACGGGGCCCTTTTTCTCTTTGTTTTCCCTTTTTTTTCCTTTCGTGTGTGTTTGTGCATGCGTGTGTGTAAAGATAGCCCATTTTGCAATCATTTGATGCATGGGTAAAAGATTCAAACTAGAGTTGTTCTGTGAGCTTTACCTGTGCGTTTTCCACGACCATGGAATGCTGCAATGGGAACCAAATCAAAGGAATCTCCAATACTGCAGACATCAGTTTTTGTTAAAAAATATCCAAGAACCCAGAAGCATAAACGAATCAGTGAAGTAAAAGAATCCTACTCACCAACAATAATCAGGTTAAAAAAAGAGCATTTTACAATATAGGATAGTAACCAAAACAAAAATGATGATGACATAACTCTACTGGCAATAGAGAGATGCAAGTGTAACATGCACTGAAGATGGTTGAGGAACTTCAAATGTTAAACTTGGTATAACCGTACAAGTTGACGATAGAAGTGTGTTAAATGGCTAGCAGAAGGCATGACAAAACTTAATTTGGATAGTAAGTCATAGAATAGAGTTAATTAATATAATAAAAAGCAAGAAATTAACTAGTCATGATGTTATTTGCATAGAAAAATGTATAGTTGACAAAAACTCCATTCAAACATAATAAGTTAACTGCAATTTAACTCATAAAACTAACACAATATGAGATAGGACAAACCACTGGATCGCAAGGTTGTTCTATGATTTAAATTGATTTTGAAGAACATGACGGCGAAAGCTAATGAATAAATGAAGGAAATAACAAGTAGGGTGTCTATTTATTTATGCAGACTCCACAACAGCATCGTCAAATATATTCTACCATTGTAAATTAGCTTCTTAAAGCTGAACATTCTTATAGGTCGACACCTAGAGATAGGTTTTTAAGGGGAAAAAAAACAGTTTAAGAATTTCATTTGCATATTAAGATCGACAGGGACCACATTAAGATAATGTTTTAAGTGCTTATCATTTTCTATCTCTGACATTCTTTACATTAACTTGGATTGTGTATGTATTGAAACAAAAATATAATTTCCTGTGAAGTACACTACAAGGAAAACATTTAAAAGTTTAATATTGAAAACAACAAAAGAAACAAAAGATTGTTCACCTGTCCATGTAGTCCTTCTTCAATTTCAACCAATTGTTTGAACGCTTTGAAGGCTCATATGTAGCATCTTTGCCAAGGGTCTTGATAATTAACCCTTCACAACTTCATGGGCAGTGAAAAGTTAGTAAAAACAATGAAATCAATAATTTTCCTTTCAGTAAGAAAGCACTGTCGCTGTTTGGAAAACACTAGCAAAAAAGGATTATAGTATAGCAAATAAATCAGTGCAAATGAGCTTTAGGCATCAATTAGCCATGAAATAGGCAATCCATGAGAAAAGGCAGAACATCTAGTAATGACTTTTTCACTTATCTGGGAGTGCTAATCTTTCAAAATAAATGAGTAAATAGAAACTAGCATGCAGCAGAAGATACAATTGCATGGTCTGACAAGCAACACAAGCACATCGATGACATAACAGTATACAGTCAACAAGAACCATGCTTGCAAAGATCAAAACCAAATCATAAAACCTGCATGAAGTATCATGGAAGCCAATCCACAAAATCATGGCATTACAACTTAAATAGAAAAGCATTAAACATCGACACAAATTCGCAGATCAAGTGCATCAAATTTATCATATCATACATTAACTAATAACAGGGGTTCTGTCCCACATGAAGTGAACTACATTATGATTTATACACGTCATGGAAATAGAAGCTGAAGGAAGTATGAAGTGAACTAAAAGAGTAGAAAATATAAGACAAACTGGGATTAACAAAAAAGAATCATCACAAAAATCTGACAGCAGCATTGGAAACATTTTAAAACCTAGACTCGCATTTATTAGAAACCTTGGTGCAATAAATTTCAATCACAATACCTGGCACTGACAGCATCATCAAGGAATTTCTGTATTTCCTCAAGGTCATTAGATGTAATTGTTGTTGCAAACTGAAACTCTCCAGGAAGTTCCTCAAATGAATTGTATAGGTGCTGCAGGAAAAAAACATCTTACTTCAAAATATTGTATTCAACTGATAAAAGCTATATTATCACGATTCAGATGAGCTGAAATGTATAGCATGGAAGAAAAGTTTAGTTAGATTGGTCATGCACAAAATTATGTCTTTGAATGAATTGAAAGTCCTTTGGACATTATAGCACACAACATAGCACAAACTCAAGTAGCCCCTCATGACCTTTTTTGCCCACATACTTCCTACTATTTATTTTGGAGAATACAAAATGATAAATAAAAGAGCTTCAGGGCATGCCATTTTTTAAGTAGCAACCATAATTTTGACTCTGTGAAATCACTTAGCACTAAGAAAAAACACTTATAATGACTGCTATCTTTGAAAATAGAGAAACTTCTAAATTAAATGAAGGATAATGAAACAAAAAGGTAGGTAGAGACTGAATATAGACAAGGGTATGGAAACTGGATGCAGAGAGAGAACTTTATGAGCAAAGAGAAACCAGATATTGACTGTCAAACTATTCCAACAAACCACAAGCTCAAAGTGGTATTTTACATCTGATCTCGGTATCAAATTAAATTATGGAAATTCTCAGAAACCACTGAGAACAAAAGAATAACAAACGAAAATAAGCCCTCTTAATTATGTGACTCATTTGTGATTTATCATAGAAAGATTTTACATTGTGGTTAAGGCTAGCAATTGGCCTAAACCAGCCCCGAGCATGAGATGGGGATTGCTATTGGGCAAGATGTGGGCTTAATACCTTAAGCCCTGTTGAGATGTATATGTCTTGAATAATATTGTTGCTTATAACCAATACTCCTGATGTGCTCAACTATAGGAGGGAAGAAGCACGATAGTCTGAAAACATGTTGGCAGTGGCATAGGCTAGTTTCGACCTCCTTACTTACTCTTCTTGCTGATTTCCCTTACTCTCATTCTTTCTTCTTTGTGGAAGTTCTAAGGGTTTCTACTTTAGGCTTTCAAAATGTCAATGGAGGGTTACCTGAGCTACTTTCAAAAACAGGTGAAAATTAATAAATTCATTCATGTTCAATATTAGCATGGAGAAAACCAGAGTAAAACATGCTTAGTTGGGTGCTTTGCTACTAGAATGAATAATTTGAAATTTGTGTTGAGTCCATTGACATTAAAAAGAAAAGTTAACTGCAACTTTTCTTTTCTTTTCCTAAATGAGTTTGCCCAGTCCTCTTTGACCACCTGCTTAATTATTAGAGCATGTGACATCCACTTCCACAAGGGGCTGGTGATAGCGATAAAGCCACTTGAAGCGTCTCTATAGTGACTGGTAAAAATCAAACTCAAGACCTTTAAGGACAGTGGTATATTGGCCATCTAACCCGCCCCCTCATCCCTCCACTGCATCTTACTCTAAAAGTCATTATAGTCTGTGGGGATAAGCATGTGCTGGAGAAACAATCGCCAGCAAGTTAAAATTGGAACTCCTTACTAAAGAGAAGTGTCATGTGCATAATTTTTCCATACACTATATATAGCAGCATCTTTCACATTAGACTGCATATGTGGGTATTGGGTAAAATCAATAATCTAAACAAGGGATATCAATGCATCACATTTTGTGCCTTATTTGTGTTTGAGTCCATTAGACAAACTAAGAAGGGATCCTTGTTCTTTTTCATACAGCAAAAAAACCTAAGTCAAGCAGCAAAAGATATCCTAAATCAAATAGGAAATGTGACCCTTAAACAGCAAGTAAAAAAGGCAGAATAGGAAATAAATAAGGAGTATGCTTCAGCCACTTAGTATGGCCTATTATTGATTGAACGCTGAGACTTGTCAAAATTATGTGAAACTGAGGGCTTGATTGATATTCGCGCAAGGAAGAATCGCAACAAGGTATAATCCTAGGATTTATATGCAAAACCTCCTTCAACAAGTATTATTGAGCACAGAAGTCTTAATCTTCATAGTTTTCTTTATTTACATGCTGTTGCTAATGAAAATAGTTATAACCGACTAACATGATTATGAAAAGTAAACTACAGTGAAGATAAGACATCTATCACTATGCAGAGAAGTATGTTCTACAGTATCCTCGCATACGGATAAATTTAATAGGAAGTCTATCATAAGATTTCAATAAAAATAATATGTATATACCTCCCTGCGAAGTTTGAGTTGCTCTTGAAGAAGGGGTTGCCCATTTATGTACAGTATATCAAAGGCATAGATGCATACTGCAACTTTAATATCACTTAAGATAACTCCCTTGCGAGCTCGAGTGCTGAGGACCTACAAGGAGAAAACGTTCACAATGACTTTTTACAACTCAAGAGAAAAATGATTTTACTAGAGAACTAAAATCTGGATGTTTGAACTAAAAGAAAATTGTGATATATTTGATAGTCATAAATTACATTAATACCAGAATTTGCCAAAAAAAGTGAATGTTTACCAGAAACTCTATAAAGTGATGGTATGTGCTGCACCTTGCAGGCTCATGCTTTAAATATGACAACACCCATGATATACAGGTGTAATATTAGAAGTGGGACATATGCCATTGCAGTTCTGGAACACACCATCTTAACGGTAACATATGAACTGCTGAACTTGCCACGAACGACTGGCTTAGGCTAATGAATTTCCATCATCAATTTAAAAGATCAATAGTTCATTGCATATAAGAACTATATCTTCAAATGCTACAAAGACAACTTGAAATCAACTAAGCAGTATGAAATTGTTATAGCACGCATAATTGCACATTTGACATGAACGACTGCATTGGCAAATTCCTTCTACTGATTCATTTTTTTTAATTGATAATATACAATGCATATTCTTGGATTTTATATAATGCCATCTCAGGAAGCAGTAGCATGGACAAGGACAAATTAAACGAATAGGTTATAAGATGGACATATGCAGCAAATCTTTAAAGTAGAATACAGGTGCAGAGTGGTGGACATATGCATAATGCACTCAAGCATCTAAAGGTAGAGACTAGGTCATGCTTTATCGAACTAGAAATAAAAACAAAATAACTATCAAAGTTAACATCTATATTCTACAGACTCTCATCTTAACCCAAATAAATCTATCTCAATTCTCAAAGTTCAATCCAATATATGTGGCCTAATACAACACATGGTTCCATTACAAGTTTCAATAGTTAATCAAAATATGTTAAAGTATGGCCCACTATATGTAAAAGGATCCTTTTACATTTCCTCATGCCTGACATGGTTCTAACATGCCAGGCAAGTGTCAGTGTTTGACAGTGTTCTAAAAATTGTAAGACTCGCCCGCATATGCGGGGCGAGTATGCAGAATCGGGCCATTTCCGCTTGGAAATGGGCTGATTCGCTCACCGCATGATGGAGCGAAAACTGCATACTCACCCGCATAAAAAGAGTATGCGTGCGTGTTTTAAGATGGGTACTAACAGGTTTCGGGTCCAAAAAATGAACCCGTAAATGTATTTAACCAAAAACCCACCCGATTGCATATCCAAAAATCTCGATTCCTTTCTGCTCCGATTCTGCTGTCTCTGTGGAAAAAAAACCCTAAATCCCTCTCCATCAGCCGCTGATTGTCCTCTTCACTGCCGGATCTATTCTTCCACAGCCGGCAAGATTTCCTCTTCTCCATCTTCTTCCGGAGCTCCTCTTCACCGCCGGATCTCCTCTTCCACCGCCGGCAAGATCTCCTCTTCTCCATCTTCTTCTAGATCTCTTCTTCACCATCTTTTCCTTATAGTGTTCACCATCTTCCGTCGAAGCTCCGAGTCTTCACCATCTTCATTGTCTAATACCATCCTCTGTTGAAGTTTCATGAGATCTTGCTACTTGTTAGCATAGCTGTGACCGCAGTCTTCGCTTTTCTTAGCATATGTTCTATCTTTTATGAATTATATACATTTTTATGTATGAAAAATAATAAATATATGCTAAAAATTAAAAAATGCATAATTCCGCATAATCTGATAAATCGGCGCATAATCCAATTGAACGTGACTCGCTCTCGAACCGCACGAATAATAAAACCGTGTTTTTGAACATTGGTGTTTGATATGTATCTGACACAGATATCGGACTCAATACATAATTGATAGTGCTTCATAGCATAACTGGACCATGTTACAACCTTAAAATCATTAACAGAAATGGCATCATTGCAAGCTCCAAAAAAAATCAAAGGCTGTTCTTGAAAAAAAATGATATATTAGGATCGAAATGATAAAAATATTAGATAATATATGTACCTGGAAAGGCAAAATTTTCTTCTTCACGCGGTCATAGGCAACAATTTCACAATCCAGAACAAAGGATTTAACAGTAGGTTTCATGATTCTGCAGTCAGATATTAAGAATTCTTTATTCTTATAGTAGGGAAGAAATATTTAAGACAAAATAATATAACTTTTTATCAGTATCTAATCAGATGGTAGTTTGATGTAGAGAATTTCCTTTTAAAAAAAAGTCTATATGAGATATCAATTAATAACTAAAGGATCATTTGCTGCTAAGCATGACCATGAATGATATAGTGGCAAAACAAGCCACGCTCAGAACATGGTGAAAAAGTGAAGTACGGTGAAACATAGCCTTGGTGAAACATAGCCTTCATACGACATCGGACAAATCAGTACATTTAAGAATCAATAATCGAAACTATAAACTTGATGCTACACTATTGAACGTAGTATAGCCTCAAACGCATCACAAATTTCTTACAAATTAGAGAAATGCTTTTTAATATGATCTAAACACCTCTTTTTCCAAGAGCAACCAAATATTCAAGGGACAAGATAAAAAAAATACCTTGATATACAATTGACAACATCAGGATACTTTCCCGTATTTCGCTCAGCATTACGACTGTATATTTCAACTGAGCCATCCTCCATATAGTGTATCTGCAATCAAATGTGAAATTAGGGTATGTATCATGTAGAATATATGTAAAAAAAACAAGGAGTACCTGAGCACGTTCACCATCATATTTGTATTCAGAGGTGAATTCCATGCCCTGGAATTTATCAAGGATCTCCGAGACAGATTTTGTTGGTTTAGCTAACATAGGACCAACAGGTACACCCAAAGAGAAGTTGCATGCCTCTGAAAGCTTCCACACTCCAACACTAAGAAGAGCTGGCACAATCTTATCGTATATAGGAAGAACTGAATAGACTTGTTTCATGATTTTTGCAGCCTAAAGTCAGAATCAGATAAGAAGCTAGTGTCAAGTTTAAGCAACAAATAATATATAGCATCAGTTGATGCACAGGATGGCTTCAGGTTGTCCATTACCAAAGTTTAACAGCATATCCTAAATAGAAGATATAGACCTACTCCAAATATAAAGCTTAATAACTATAGAGGAAAAAGTAACCAAAGTCCATGACAGAAAGTTACTGCTACCAGGCAGCAGATAGTTAAAAAAGCAATAGTATGGCATAGAAAAAATAAAATAAATAGAACTGGTCTAGGAGGGGCTACTCTGCCTAACTGCCAGGCTTCACGTGCCCTACTTGCCTTCTCTGTATATCGATCAGTTCTACTTTTTGTTTATCAAGCTGCCCAGGAAGCTTTTCTTCTTGGCCCAATGGCTCTTCCAGAAGATAACTACTATTATTGAAATTCTTGTCCACATTATATAGAATACTATAAGGCCTCATACAGAACTAAAAATGAGTCCAACCCCCATAACATATTACCTATGAACAGTGCATGGACAACTTAAATACGACCCTCTGATATAACCCTAGGAGTTTGGGCTAAGTCTAGAACCAGTAGAAACAAAAGCAACAAACAACCTGGGATGAACTTCAACTAAATACTATGATAGACTTGGAAAAAAAATTGTAGACCAGTGTGGAGCCAATCTGACCTTTATGCAATATATTAGTAATTTAAGTATATCATCTAAAATAATGCTCTTCGTGAGTGACAGGCAAGGATAAGAGATACGGATGTCTAATCCCACAAATTTGGAGCTTAATAATGCCACCTATCTTCAAATATCTTTCTTGTAAGTGCTAAAGATCCATTTGGGACATGAATCCGAGTGATATATCACCACCATGGCCAGACAGAGAAGGTATTGCACCATCCCAATTGGTGTAGGCCAATCTAGCCTACTCTGAAGTATGGAAATGGGTGTAGTTCAGAAGACACAGCAATAAGCAAAGCTTGAAAATATAAGGCCAAATCCTGAAAGGTTAGGATACAGTATAAGATTATAGATATATAAACAACAATAAAGTTAGTCATCAGTGAAGTGATGTTCAATATTCCAGATATATGAAATATTTTCAAGTTTTATACATTAATAGGTATGTTAACCTATTGATTACTAAGAAATGGGACAAATTATATAATTCTAATAGATGAACAAATCAAATGAAATGAGAACTCAATGTTCAGTTTTTAACTTTTATCTCATATGCATCTAGAATATGGTTCCAATACATCTAGGAAATGCTGCATTTATGGCTAAAACAAAAAATAGTACTGCACAAGTATCCATTAACTATCAGATACACATCTGATAGACTGATATAGGTACATCTCTTTCTAGGGCACAGAGCTCTGTAGATAGCCCATAACCTGTATATAGTCACTTAAGGGAGGAGCAGCGAGCCATGTACAGCGATATGATCACTGTAGTCCAAAACTCTATTCGGCATACTTCATAAGGCAGCCCAGACAAAGAGGACCTACTTTCCTGCCCAACATAAAAAGCATTTGACAGGGATTTAAACCCATTACGCGACATCCTTAATCCAAGATTTATTTTTTCCATCAATTTTTGCCTCTTACTCACCGAAGCATTATTACTCAGCATGTGACCTAGGGGACTCCATCATCTAAGAATTGTTTCATTACCTTAAAAGTTAAAAGGATTGGATTTTATCTCCATTTCAACAGCTAACAAAAAAGACTGATCTGTATCTGTTAAACAATTCCTACAACTTAAATGTATGCCACCGATTTCATCTTCACTGTTCTATTAAGAAATAATTAATTGTAGAAATGAAAGTCAAGCTCAGCATCTTTATCTTATTTTCGAATCACACCCATCACCTATCCCCATATGCACGCCCTACTCTACTTGTAGACTTCCCCTATCCCAAGATGAATCATTTTTCTAGGAGAATGTTTCTGGCTAGAACTATAACAGCCAAAATGCTTCATTTAGAAAATCTTGTTCTACTTGTTAAAATTAATTTCACCTAACTTGACTGTGGCATTATTAAGGTCGGGCTCAATTGGGTTAGGAATAGTAACTCGATCCTTAGTCATGCCTCCACAAATGTTGTAATCTAAACCTTTTCAGAAAAGACAAACTCCTAAAAACAATACTAGCCATGCTGGCACTTCAAACAATGAATACTACTCTGGTCCTTGGTCATGCCTTCACAAAGGTTGTAATCTGAACCTTTTTAAGGAAGACAACCTTCCAAACAGAACTAGCCAGGCTGGCACCACAAACAATTTACAAAGAGGTATATCATTATGCCAGTTTCTTTCATTCATCAATACTAATCAACCATGAATCCTAAAACCAACTCATTATCATGAATTTGGCATCAACTTAACTTCAAATTAAGGATAAATAAATAATGAGGAAGCAACATCATAACAATGTAGAAATTATTGCAGAAATAATTAAACAAACATGACGATACAAGCAAGAGAATGTGCAGGCAACAACTAGAAAGTGACAAATTGAGTCAGCATGCTAATCTAAAGACATAAAAAGCCTCAAGTTTGCATGGAATGGGTATCAAGAATATCTAAGGAACAAGAGAAATGAAGCGCTACACTGATGGAAGATGCACAGTTTACAAGAGATCCACGAAGTTGTCTTCGAATGAGTCAGAGCTTTTGATTAGACCCTTAATTCTATATAAGAATAAAACTAACAGAATGAACTTTACACTTATCATACTAAAGTGTGTCTCTAGAAAATGAGCAATGCACATTTTGTCAAAGTGAACAAAACATTAAAATTGAGAGTCCAAATAATGTAGCTGCCGTAGGACAAAGGTTTCAAGTGAGAGAGGGAGAGGGGTGAAGGGAGGGGGGACGGAGGGAGAGAGAGAGAGAGAGAGAAGAGAGAGAGAGAGAGAGAGAGAGAGAGAGAGAGAGAGACCTCAAAACATGCACAGTAGCTTGTGCAAAATAGAATTATAGGGTTAAGGATTAATGTTAAACTGCAGACTCCAAAACATAGTGCAAATTTGTTGTTCAAATTTCAATTGTATAATCGACCAGAAGAAGAAAGTAGAGTATGCTTTTACACAACTATATACATGAAGTGAAAAGTAGTTAGCTTCAGACCTCATTTAAATGGAGTCAGAACAAAGGATTAATGTTAAATGGAATAAAAGCATGACATAGCCATAAGGCGTCAACCCTTTTCTAAACTATTGCTCTCAAAAATTACTGGTGGATGTAAAGAGCAAATAGAACACAAACCTCTTCAAGAGGGGACTGAATTTGTGAAGGTGGAGCAGGAAGCGTTGCAGAATGCATAGCAGCCTGCCCAAGAGCAACAAGAACAGTTTTCTCGGCCAAGCCAATTCGCATTTTTGACTGCAACAACTAACAAGTCTTAAAAGGAGAGGAAAAAAAAAGAATCAAAATGAAAATTTCTCAAGCTTGCATTTTACAACCTGCAAGAGACGAATTATGTACTGAGGTTCACAATCAGTTGCTGCAACAAGAAGCCCTTTAATATGATTCCTTTTTTTGTCCTGGCTGTCTTTGCCGGTCTCCTACAAGGAGGGAAATTATAGTTAAAAAAAGGAAAGACAGGCCTTTGTTCCCTGGGGCATTCAATCTTTTAAGTAAGCACACAAACTTTTTGAATATTATAAAACACAAAACAAGAAATAGCATTATCACAGGTGTTGTAACATTATTTGGAAGCTGCAATTATAACTATCATAAAATTTACTTCCATAAGTTTACAATAAAAACTGCACACAAATCATGTCAAGTATAGTTGCAAGAAAGATACTTCAACCATTGTTTAAGCTACCACATAATTATATTGTACCAAATTTCTGGTATATTTTGGTTCTTGACACGGATCAGTGGATGTGAAATGCTAACTTCAATAGTACACTTTATGGAAGGAATATGCCTAATCTGACCAATATTTGGGGGCATGGTACATTTTGGGAGTGTAGAAAGCATTTGCTCTCGTCATTTCGATAATCATACAGTTTTCATGTGGATCATGTGATGTGTATAGATGAGATACATTATACATATATACAGGGTTCTAAAAAATGGTTTCATTATGCGTACAGTCCGATATCGGGTAGCAATTAGTCGGAGTATGCGGCGATTAATTGGATTATGCAGAGTTATGCGTTTTTGAAATTTTTGATATATAAATTTATTATTTATCATATATAAAAATACAATAATTAATGAAAGATTTTTAAGGAAGACAACCTTCCAAACAGAACTAGCCAGGCTGGCACCACAAACAATTTACAAAGAGGTATATCATTATGCCAGTTTCTTTCATTCATCAATACTAATCAACCATGAATCCTAAAACCAACTCATTATCATGAATTTGGCATCAACTTAACTTCAAATTAAGGATAAATAAATAATGAGGAAGCAACATCATAACAATGTAGAAATTATTGCAGAAATAATTAAACAAACATGACGATACAAGCAAGAGAATGTGCAGGCAACAACTAGAAAGTGACAAATTGAGTCAGCATGCTAATCTAAAGACATAAAAAGCCTCAAGTTTGCATGGAATGGGTATCAAGAATATCTAAGGAACAAGAGAAATGAAGCGCTACACTGATGGAAGATGCACAGTTTACAAGAGATCCACGAAGTTGTCTTCGAATGAGTCAGAGCTTTTGATTAGACCCTTAATTCTATATAAGAATAAAACTAACAGAATGAACTTTACACTTATCATACTAAAGTGTGTCTCTAGAAAATGAGCAATGCACATTTTGTCAAAGTGAACAAAACATTAAAATTGAGAGTCCAAATAATGTAGCTGCCGTAGGACAAAGGTTTCAAGTGAGAGAGGGAGAGGGGTGAAGGGAGGGGGGACGGAGGGAGAGAGAGAGAGAGAGAGAAGAGAGAGAGAGAGAGAGAGAGAGAGAGAGAGAGAGAGACCTCAAAACATGCACAGTAGCTTGTGCAAAATAGAATTATAGGGTTAAGGATTAATGTTAAACTGCAGACTCCAAAACATAGTGCAAATTTGTTGTTCAAATTTCAATTGTATAATCGACCAGAAGAAGAAAGTAGAGTATGCTTTTACACAACTATATACATGAAGTGAAAAGTAGTTAGCTTCAGACCTCATTTAAATGGAGTCAGAACAAAGGATTAATGTTAAATGGAATAAAAGCATGACATAGCCATAAGGCGTCAACCCTTTTCTAAACTATTGCTCTCAAAAATTACTGGTGGATGTAAAGAGCAAATAGAACACAAACCTCTTCAAGAGGGGACTGAATTTGTGAAGGTGGAGCAGGAAGCGTTGCAGAATGCATAGCAGCCTGCCCAAGAGCAACAAGAACAGTTTTCTCGGCCAAGCCAATTCGCATTTTTGACTGCAACAACTAACAAGTCTTAAAAGGAGAGGAAAAAAAAAGAATCAAAATGAAAATTTCTCAAGCTTGCATTTTACAACCTGCAAGAGACGAATTATGTACTGAGGTTCACAATCAGTTGCTGCAACAAGAAGCCCTTTAATATGATTCCTTTTTTTGTCCTGGCTGTCTTTGCCGGTCTCCTACAAGGAGGGAAATTATAGTTAAAAAAAGGAAAGACAGGCCTTTGTTCCCTGGGGCATTCAATCTTTTAAGTAAGCACACAAACTTTTTGAATATTATAAAACACAAAACAAGAAATAGCATTATCACAGGTGTTGTAACATTATTTGGAAGCTGCAATTATAACTATCATAAAATTTACTTCCATAAGTTTACAATAAAAACTGCACACAAATCATGTCAAGTATAGTTGCAAGAAAGATACTTCAACCATTGTTTAAGCTACCACATAATTATATTGTACCAAATTTCTGGTATATTTTGGTTCTTGACACGGATCAGTGGATGTGAAATGCTAACTTCAATAGTACACTTTATGGAAGGAATATGCCTAATCTGACCAATATTTGGGGGCATGGTACATTTTGGGAGTGTAGAAAGCATTTGCTCTCGTCATTTCGATAATCATACAGTTTTCATGTGGATCATGTGATGTGTATAGATGAGATACATTATACATATATACAGGGTTCTAAAAAATGGTTTCATTATGCGTACAGTCCGATATCGGGTAGCAATTAGTCGGAGTATGCGGCGATTAATTGGATTATGCAGAGTTATGCGTTTTTGAAATTTTTGATATATAAATTTATTATTTATCATATATAAAAATACAATAATTAATGAAAGATATAAAACATTCCCAGCAAAAGACTAACAATAATACCCTAAGCTACTCAAATCGAAGTCATTATGCACTTAAAAGCAAGATTACTAAGTTCATAAACCGAAAATAGTCCTAGAAGTCATAACACTTAAAAATAGTGGTAAAACTCCTCATCTTGTCTTCCTCATCCTAGTCGCGATCAGTGGCTGAAATGATGGCAGAGACAACAACAATTGGCGTCTTTCACTCAACGGCAGTTGCGAGCAGTGGTGGACAACAATTAGAAATGGTTGAAAGGATGTTGTGGGGGGTGGGGGATGACCAGGTTTAGGGTTTTGAAGCAGCGTTTTATTTTTGGGGATCTTTTGAGGTAGCGAGTGGGCAATTTTAGGGTAATTAAGTCTGGGTGGGGTCGGATCAAATATATCATGCGCTCAAATAAATTCATTATCCGGTTGCATACTCTTTAACCGCTTGATTATTTTGTTTGACCGCATATCGAGTAGGTATCAACTACCCAACATGTTTTAATACCAAGTAGGAGTATTTCAGGTGAGTACTTGGCCGGGTAGAGCACAAAAACACTACATATATACATTTGAAAGCATGTAAATCATCACTCGTCATGGATCACTTTTGCTATGTGAAGAAAAATAAGTACGTTCAATACGGTGCTCTAGGAACATGGTGTGCAAGGGGAACTTCTTTGGGTGCTTAGTTGATATATTTATATCTAGACAGTGACCATAATTTTCCAAAACTGTGAAAGATTTGTAGTGTTGTATGGATGTGCATGAACATATGTGTGTAGGTTAGTTTAAATTGATAATAAAATTAATGAATGCACACCTCTCTCTATTACCAAATCTTTCACTTACCCTTTTCTTCATCTCAAGGAACTCTAGTTCACTAATTCTTGATATATATTTGCTTGAAATAGATGGTCTTAGTTTGTAATAGAAATATCCCATAAAGATGGTGGGGTTGGTGGTCCTAATGGGGAAACTCTAATTCACTAGCTACGAGCTTTTATAGGACATGATGATATAGGATGATATTAGATGCAGTGATGATCAAACACTAATTTAGGAGCAAAAGTAAAAGAATATCAAGTCTTAGGGGAATTGTTCTCCACCACTTTACTTCCCCAAATTCAAGAAAGGCACTGTGATTGATTTTATGGATCAGTCCCTTTTGATACTGAGGGCATGTTTGGTTGATCAAAAAATGGAGAAAACTCCAAAAAGAAATCTGACAGTGAAGGAAACCCCTAAAAATTTGTCATTTTCCTCATTTTCTGATGGTTGGTTCGCTAAATGAAAAAGGGAAATAATGGAGGAAAGCCCGTGCCACGTCTCTCACAAAGGAAAATCAGTTTCCCCCTAAAAACCTCAGAAATGGGCAGAAAACCCATTAGAAGCTCTGATGACGTCGAATTCAAGATTGAATAGGCCAGTCGCTAAGCAATCACAGCTGATTCTTGGTATGGTCAAGACCGACTGCGCTTGCAACGAGATCCTAGTCTCATTCAGGCCTGTTTTCATTCGTTTAGGCTTGATGTGTTTGATTTCTATGCTATATCCTTTCTTGCCATCTTAGAGTTTGATGAATGATTGGTCTTTGTAGTTTTTATATTACTGGAATTGATTTGGTGTTGCCATCATTTCTTTTTTGTTTGTTAATTTTCTGGATTTAATTTCTTGATTAATCTGCATTGCAAACTTGAAGAATTCTGTTTGTAGTAGAAATTTGATGAATAATTGATAGTATTACTGTATTAAGCATTATATGTTAGGCAAGATTGTTATTCTCTCTGTCGACAAAAAAAAGTCTCTCAAATTTTTAAACATCATGCAATTTACTACCTCAAATTTAAAATTAGTCCCTCAAATCTTTAAACAATTTGAAATTACTCCCTCAATTCATATTTTAAAACCAGTCCCACAAAACTTTAAACATATTGCAAATTACTACCTAAAATAGCTGTTGGGTTGCCAATCCCACCGACTAATCAAAGGCTATTGCTTTTGTCTTCTAGGGATCTGTTATATATGCTATTCCTCGCATCTCAAAAGAAAAACCATTGCAAGCAACTTTTATGTGATGATGGGTATGTTCACCCCTCAGTTTATGTTGGTAACAATTTTGTCTTGTATGGGTGGTAAACACACTATGGTGAACCAACCATAGTTTCTTTTTTCCCACTTTTTTAGTTTGAAACAAACACTGAAGGAATCTATTCACACATCAATTGATTGCTTCGTTTTTGAAGTTGAACCAAACTAAGGAAAATGGTGGAAGTTACTTATACCTCATGTTTTCTGGCGAAACAAACACAAGAAACATTTTTGCAAGAAAGTGAAGGAAACACCAAAAAATGAAGGAGAAATGTTTCCTTATAATTATGAAAAACAACCAAACAGGCCCTGAAAGGAAATTCAAAACTCAGTATGCCAATAACACAAAGGGAAGAAGTATGCCTTGCCCGAGCTATATATGTACTACAGTACTAGGATGGATGAAGGAATACCAACCTATTATAAGCAGTGTGGAAATGTACACTAACTGGCTATTTGGGCAGTTGTACAACTTTTCTGCCTAATGATAAAAATCTCACCATCACATTTTGCAAGGAAAAAGTAGCAGACTGTAATGACTCTAATTACTTGACTATACCTAAAGCTCTCCTAATGTTCTTTCTAAT